ATTTTCACTGTTCTCTGTCGAATACTCCAGGGTTTTCTAGTAAGACCAAACACTGCTGACAGAACTACACCATAATCTTGTCATTGGGATTGTCTCTAATATATATTACATGTAAAACTTTAAAATAAGTATTATTATTGTGATGAATAAATTTTTAATGAATATTTTGCCAAATTCCTTAATAAAACTAATCTTATGGCCACAGGTTTTTAACTGCTTTTTTTCTTTTGTACTCTTTTGAAAATGTAGTTATTTCATTATGAAAAGATTATGTTTAAAACACTATTACTAACAATACCATTTTTCAATATAAAAATTTTGGGGGATCATTTTGGGGTAAAGTTTGAAAACATAAAACAGATAAAATCAATTCCTTCAGTGGTCTAAATATACTGTCAGGTAGTTTAGTTGTGTAGTCTATTAGGTATGTATATAGCACTTACCATAAAGAAGAACTTACACATATAGTTTACTGAATAATTTTCTAAAAATGGTTTACTAACATGAACATTTTTAGGTTAAGAATGACTCAAATTTGACAAGTGTTTTTGTAAAATTGGTTAAAGCACTGAAACACTATTTTAAAATATTACAGATTATATATTTTTATAGCTTGCTTTAAGCAAAGAACTATTAATCCTTAATTTTATACCATAAGTATATATAAAATAAGGTGAATCCTGCTATATTTTTCTTCACAGATGCCAAGTCACTTACATAAAGTGATGTAGTAATTGCATATAACTTACATCTTCTCATATAGTTCAAATCCTCTCTAAATAACTTATGATACCCAATACCATATAAATGCTATGTAAATAGTTGTATTGTATTATAAAGGAAATCTAACAATAAAAAGTACATATTCATCACAGACACAAATATTTTCCAAATAGTTTTCATCTCTGGTTGAATCCTTGTATTCAAATCCAAGAATATAGAGGTCTGAGTATATTTCCCCTCCATTCCTGCCAATTGAGAACTCAATTCCTTCCTTCCTTCCTTCCTTCCTTCCTTCCTTCCTTCCTTCCTTCCTTCCTTCCTTTCTGTGCTGGGGATTGAACCCAGGGCCTTGTGCATGGGAGGCAAGCACTCTATTAATGAGTAGAGTTAGTATCACCAACCCCAAATCCAAATTTCTACCTAAGGATTACATAACATTTTAACAAAGCCTTTCTTGCCCTTATCTTTCTTAATTATTCCAGAAGATGAAAATTGTTGGTAAAGATTTAGAATTAGACAATTGCAACCTTATAATTTCTCCCCCACTATACCACTAAATCACACTATATAAGAGTTATCAGTATTACCTATAAGTAGTGTACACTTCATTCCATGGCATTCTCATCAATATTTCTGGTGCCCAATGTAGTGAACCAAGTTTCCAAACCACTAATCAGTGCAAATTCAGTTATGGGCTCTATTATAGACTAGTTCATGGGATGTGAAACTAAACACGAGAAAAGGTTGTGTTATGCTCTTTCTGAATGTGCTGATTTGTTTTGAGGTTAACTGTAAACTAGAGAATTCATGTACTAGGCAGTATAATTAAAATTGTACTCCAGGTAACACTGCATCAGAGATCTCTAACATATCTCCAATTCTTTGAGATAACTCAGGTTCTTTGAGTCACTTGTTTCCTTAATTCTAAGTGTTGCAAAGTCTGACATTGTTTCTGACTACTAATAACTATAGAATAATTTCTATACACACAGTTTCACTAACATGAAACAAGCAATGACATCTTCAAGAGAAACAATGTTAAAGATAAATGTAAGATTAAGTGTAAATATCATTACCACCATCTGCAAAGCCAGTTGCAGTGATAATAGGGATAGCCACCATAATTAGTCCACAGCTGCTCCAAACGTACTTCATTAAGAATTGCTCTATCATGATGTACCACAAACGTTTGGATAAAATAAGGTTCATCTGGTCCGCTAAAGCTTTGTAACTCTTCTGGAGTTGCTTCATTTCTACCTATAGAGAAAAAAAATAAGAATTAACCTAACATACTTATGAAAATAAATACCATATGTGCTTGAGGGCTGTCTTTAATGATAAGAACTTATTATTATTTTGGTTTACTTAGTATAGCGTTATCTATGGGCCTTAACAACCAAGAAATACAGATTTATATTATAATTAGTCATTATTATTTAGTTTGGGTTATACTTGGGACTACTTAAAAATTTTATGCTATTCAATGAATATAATATTAAGTGTAAAATACATATAACTGGGCTGGGGGTGTATTCAGTAGTAGAGCACTTGCCTAGTATGGATGAGGCCCTAGGCTCAATCTGCAGCAATCCCCCTCCTCAAATGTGTGTGTGTGTGTGTCCCCACAAAAGTGATTTATCATTATGATTTCAAAATTTAAGCTGTTAAAACTATATTTGTAAGACATGAATAAACAATATTAGAACCATATCATTCTAAAAATAAATACATGACATACATTTATAAACTCCACCTTTTAACTGACTCAGTTTACTGGATTTTGTCTTTTATGCAAGAACCATACAGCACACTATAATATTGTGTTCAATGATTGTGTTCAATGATTCAGGGAGAAGGACAAATCAACATGATTAATATAACATATGAGGCCAATTTTCAAGTGGGAGTAAAGGTCCTAAATTTGTTTCAAAATCTTTTATTTAAATTGGTTCTGCTATTTAAAAATTTTGATAATTTCAGATGTTTTAAAAGCTAAATAATCCTCCTTAATAATTAAAATATCTTCAACTTATTATTTCATTTGCCAAGTCATCTGTATTAAGATTTCAGATGCATCATTTTTAAAATATGTCATATTTAACATCTGAAGTCACTCCTCCCATGCATTAGAAATCTGTGCAATCTGGCTAATTGTTTTAAGGATCTACTTAATGTTGAAAATATTAAATATTTAAAAATATTCTGGAACTTCTTTTTTCCTATTCGTTTCCTAATTTTATTTTTTTTAAATAGACAAAATTTAATTTCACTGACTCTTTTAATTTGAGTCAAAATATGTGCTGAACATAAACTAAACATAATAGAAATATTACTTTATAAGAAACTCTTCTGCATTTCTTAGGATGCTCCAAAATTGATCAGACATGCAAAATTATTAAAATTGTCTTCCATATGAAATGTGGTTTTCCCCCTCTTAAGCAACAAAGGAATGACAATAAAGAAAACCATTCTAAATTTTCCACCTCAATGGAAAGGTATTTACTCTTAGTTTCCAAATATGTATTTTTTTTTCACATACTTTAAGGTCGCCTACCAAGTTAGGGTTTAAGTTTTAAGAACGTGTTTTTGAGATATTTGTGTAACTGAAGATATGTAGACTGTTTCTTAAATGTTGAAATATTATTCTCATCAAACTTTTAAAAAGTTTGCACTTTATAATTCTTTAACAGCCTGCCATTTTAAAAGATAATGAAGTGTATATTTTAATTTAAGTTTAGCAATCACAGAAATCAAAAAGTTTAAGAAAGTGGGTCCAATAGTCATCAGTCAAATATACAACAGATGGTGTAGCACTGCAGTGGCTGATTGAACAGTCTCACATTTCACTCATCACCTTAATTTTTATCTTACCTTATGTCCTCTGTAAAAAGCAATTTCTTCCACATTGGCTATAATTCTGGAGTGCACATACCGCAAATAGCCTTTTCTATGAGCTTCTTCAGCTACCAATTTACCAAATTTGGGAGAGCAAGCCTTCAACACTTTAGCAGTGGCATACACCACAAGTCCTGCTAACAGGGTGGGTCCAATTGGGCTTGCTCCTCTGGACGTAGCAGTCTGGATGAGTGTATAGGAGGTCAGGATTACATCTAAAATAGGTTTGGTCAGGTTGGAATACAAGTGAGCCACAGATTGGGAGAACATCATAATATCCTCAGTAAGAGACTGGTCAGGGTTTGCCAGCCTCCCATCCATATTGATCACCTTATAATAAGTCTGATTTGTAAAATAGGTTTCATAGGCATGGTCTACTAATCGAGTTCTGAAAGCCAAAGCCAATTTGCACTCCAGGTACCTTATTGCACTGTTGACAAAGGTGGCAGGAATGGCAATCATAAGCCACTTGATTAATTTGAGGATGAAAGTCCGAGGCTTCTTTTCCACAATGCTTTTCACGATTTTTCCATCCAGACCAGCCACATAAATAGATAGAAAGGTTCTTGAGATTAGAGCCACCGAGTGGAGGCAGAGCCACCCTGTTTCAGTGGTCACAAGTTTGGGAAAGAGAATTTTCCGAAGTTCTAGTAGCTGTTTGAAAAAATCTGCATTCACTCCAGGCGAAGGTTTTTTACAAATGGTCTCGGTGCAATGCAGTATTTCTCTGTTCTCTGCAGCGGGGTAAGCTTCTTTTTTCCTCCCGTGGCCAGATTGCTTTAAACGCTTGCCAATGACGGGATAGAGGGTTTTCAGCGCATATGCTGCAGCCACCAGGCAGGCAGCCCTCTTAGCAGCACCCGATCTGGTCCATTTCATTCGATCAGCTGCTGCATTTAGCATATGTATCATTTTCCCAGTTACCCAAACCGGCTTCAAAAAGAATTCTTTTTAAAAGATCATACTCCACAGGAACCCCCAGTAGATGTTTCAGAAAGTCCTACAGCATCACATAGTCTGTAGCGTTTTTCCTTTACTGTTTTATTTTATTTTATTATTTTGTTCGTCTGTGACATACACAGCAGAGCTCAGACTCCACTGCATCTACTGGGGATGATTCCCTCAGAAGCTCTAGCTGCACGAAGCTCCTCCCTCCCAGGCTCCTCATTGGCTGTGAAGGCGGTGGGACCTTGGAATCCTCGCAGCTTCTCTTGGGAACCTTGAAAAGGAGGAGAAAGCAAGACGAATTACATCTTTAAACAGTTCAGCGAGGGTTAAACGTCTATTTTTGGAGAGGTCGAATCAGGCCAGCTACCCGCGAACAAAACCTGCCCTAGCTACTGAGCATGCTCAGTGTCATTTAGAAACCCGCAGAAGTTTCAGGATATACAGTTCTTCTTTAAGGTTTTTTTTTTTTTTTTCTCTTCTCTTTTCTTTTCTTTTTTAGATGCCATAAGGGGAAGAGAAAGCAGAAAGACTCACAAAACGAGACAAGGGAAAGTAACCAGGGAGGAGGGATAAGATGATCAATATCTAATTAATATGAAAAGAAGAAAGTGAAGGGGCACTGGTAAAAACAAAGTATCAAATGCAAATACTTGGGAATGTGTTTTGATCTGAAGTGGGGTTTGTTTTTTTGTCTGTGATTTCATGAATGGTCCCAGAACCTAACAGGTAAGTTGTAATTGAGGGTGTTCCTTGTAAATAAATAGAGGGGAAAGTCTTCTGTATTACAGAAAATAATTCTTTCTTATACTTCTAGATCTTCTCCTTTTTTTTCCACTTCAGATCTATGTTTACTTGTCGTATAATAAAAATCTTCCTGCTCCATAACTGTTATTTTTAACAAGGGAAATCAGATGCACTCTTATTTATTTACAAGATGACTATTAAATGAGATTAACGTCTCATTTCTCCCACTCCCTTGTGTTTTCACTTGGGTATATGTAGCTCTATAATCAAAATTTTTTGCTATAACCAAATTTCATTTGTGAATCCAACTGGAATTGGGTAATAGAAAAAGCTTCTGTAGGATCTTACTTCATTTTTCAAGAATTGGTGTTTTTTTGTAAGTTTTCGTTGTGTTGGTCTCTTTATACTTAGAGGTAATATTCTGGCTACTTCTTATTTCTATTTGATTATTTGATAAAAATCAAGAGTGTCTAAAAAAAATTCTTCACATCCTAAAGGAGGATATAGAGGATATAAACTTCTCAATAGGCAAGCAAGATTTTGCACAATTTAAAAATCCCAAAGGGCATTTTTTTTTTGAGGTGGGGGAGGCTAAGTGTATATTTTAATGCCAGAAAGTAATTTTTTGCCTCTCTCCATCTCACTCACAACATAGACACTTTCAACTGAAAGCTTGGGAAGACAGACATTTAAGCTAGAACAGAGCTTGGCAAATTATGATCAGTGGGCCAATTTCAGCCTGGTATTTATTTTTATATGACCAGTAAGCTAAGAATGATTTTATATTTTACATGCTAAGCAAGTGCTCTGCCACTCAGCTACAGCCCTAGCCCCAAATATTTTTAGTTGTAGATGGACATGATATCTTATTTTGTTTATTTATTTTTATATGGTGCCGGGGATCAAACCCAGTGCCTCACAAGTGCTAGGCGAGTGCTTTACCACTGAGCGATTTTATATTTTAAATGGTTGGAAATATACTAAAAAAGAATATTTTTGTGATGATAAAATTATATGAAATTTTTATTTCCATATCCATAATGAAGTTTTATTGGAACACAGTCAAATTCATTTACCGTCTTCTTTTAAGCCATAGTGGCAGAGTTGAATGGATTCAATAGAGACTAAAATATTTACCTTGATAAAATTTTGAAAATTTCTGTTCTAGAATACAAAACCTGTCTCGATGTTAAATGATCTTCATATTTCAGTTTATAATGAACTATCCTCATTTTTATAAGTAACAATATTCTCAAACTTTTAAATCTCTTTGTTATATGATTATATTAATTCCAAGACTCATTACATATATTTTCATTTGTTTACTTTAAATTCAGCAAACTTATTAACGTATGAATGACAGTTTCATACAAACTTCATATGAATATATTCGATATTATCAGCACACTCGATCATTCTATTAAGAATTTCTAAACCTGTATATAAAGATCAAAGGGCCATAGTGGTTACTGTCAAAATCTATTCTTTCTCAGATCATGCTTTTGGTGTACACAAAATAAGACCGCCTTATATTTTTAAATTTTAATAATTTATGTTCATCTCCTGAGAGCTAAACACAGAAGGGTTAACTATAACAGGTTGGAGGCCAGGGTAAATCTATCTGGGGGTGATGGCAGGATGTTTAGTCAGGCAGAACAGGTACACAGAAGGATGACTGGGTTAGACAACAGCTGGTAGTCAAGACAAGTGGCTTACATCACTGGCAAAGCACCAGGGGCAGCCATATGGGGAAGAAGGAGCAGGGTGGGAATCCAGAATCAAAGAACACTAAAGATCCAAGCAGGACAGCTCTTAGCTGTAGGTAGGTCAGTTTACCAACTAATGATGAGCCTGGAGTACATAAACAAGCTCTGAAGGCCTGGGGTGAGAATTTGCTGAATGAAGAATTAAATATGAGGAAAGAGACCAAGATAAAAATTTAGTTACAAGAATTACGGTACAAAGAAGGTTGAGAGGCACTTAGTACAACTGTGGAGGTCAATGTGAGTTTTAACTTGATATTGAGCTCCTTAAGTACAGATCTAACTATAATAATGTAAATTTCACCCCTACTGTTCTTTCTATACTGCTCCAAAGGTCAGAGCCTAAGATCTGAGATTAGGTTCAAGGCTTCAGATAAAGCAAAGGAAGGATTCAAGATGAGAAGTAATGATATAGGCAATCAGAGGAGGAAATATAGTCCTGCTCCACATAATAAAGTTTTGGTCAACATTGGACCAGATATACAACAGTGGTCCCATACGATCCTAATGGAGTTGAAATACTCCTATAACCAAGTGACATCATAGCCTTTATAATGTCACAGAACAATGCAATGCATTACTCACCTGTTTATGGCAATGCAATTTTAAACAAACCTACTGTGCAGCCAGTCAGATAAAAATATAGCACATATAATCATGTACAGTACATAACAGTTGATAGTGATAATAAATGATTATGTTACTGGCTTATGTATTTACTATACTAAACTTTTTATAATTAGAGTGTACTCTAATTATAAAATAATGTTTGTTGTAAAGCCATGTGCCATATTATTATACCTCATGCATTTCAGGCCTCATGTGCAGCCTCATGAATATCAGGTTTAATGTGGCTCAAGAGGTCACACAAAGTGATCTATCGACACCATCTAATTTTGTGTAAATGCACTCTGTGATATTTTCATGATGACAACACCATCTAAGATGCATTTCTCAATGTATTCCCACCATTAAGTGACATAGGACTTTAAAAAGTTAAGATGGTTAGAGTGATTCTTTTATCTTTTTTTTTTATACTGGCAATATGAATTAAAGCAAAGAGAATGTTACTTAAGTTTGAATTCCAAACTAGGAGAAAAAAAAGAAGTAAAAAAAAATCCCTTATTATTGTATTAAACGTATTAAGTTTAATTTCTACGCAAGCTTCTCACTTTATGTATTTTGATATGGGAAAATATTAAAAATTTCTTGGGAAATAATCTTAGAAAAAGAGCTTGAAATGAATTCTAAAAATATTTAAAGCAATGATTCTCAAATTACTACTCTGCTTATAGTATAATATTCTCATGGCCATCACCAATATCCATCCAAGAGTAGGATTAGATTTTACATGTATATATAGAATAATATTTATTAGGAAATAAATAAATAAATATACATACACACATTTTATAAATTGTAAAACCTCAGAATTTTTTGGTAATAAGTAAAACATCATAAATGAATATATTATATAGATTATGTATGAATTATATTTTACATTGCAAATCACCAGAAAGTAATTTTTATAAATAGGTAAGGATAAATTGTTTAAGTTTTAATAATTTTGAATGAATTTCATTCACAACAAATGCTGAATAGTATTTCATCTCCATTGCATTGTTATCTTGAACTGATTCCTGACCCAAGAGATTACCTAATTGCTCTACTGACCCTAAAATAGTACAGTGTTTGATCCTTATTATCTATCAGTCATTCTATCTTAGTCATGGAGGCATAAACAACATTGCAGATGAGATCTTCAGTCAATATTTCAGTATTACACACAACTACCTAATACCTTGTTCCTAAAGAAATGTCTTTTGCTTAAAGAAAAACTCAGTAAATAGCTATCTGAGCATGTATCCCATAGATTAATCTTTCTTTAGCCTAATTTACCATTTCTACTGCCTCTTTGTGACTGGGAGGAAAGCAATAACTCTAGAGGGAGAAGAAATGGTTCATTCCAGCTCAGTTCTTTACTCCTCTTAAAAATTAGTCAATTTCCCCTTTATGTCCTTTCACAAACAATAAAAGGAAAGAAAGAAAGAAAAGGAAGGACAGAAGCAAGTCATATTTCCTTTAGAAAATTATTTCCCCTTCTAATTAATTTAGTCAACAAGTTTAGAATGCTAAAAGTACAAAAGGCAGATATACAGGACTATTGTTCCTGCCTTGAGTGTAGGGTTTAGTTCCTGAAAACCAACAGCCACTCTGTGCAGAGGAGTACTTCTCTGAAATGTTGAATTCATCTGATCTAGTCAGTCAGAGATATACTTTGGTGAGTTTTTGTTATAAAAGTCAGGATTTACATTATTAAACAAGATGTCTATTCTGAGACATAATACAATTCCAGGTACTATTTCCCTACTACTTAACAGAAAAAGTATTACATCATGAGATCTTCTACAGGTTACACTCTGGAGAAAAGCATCATGGCAACTGAAAAAATTCTTTGTGCATTTATTTGGGATAAGATATTTAATTTCAAAGCATATCATTATAGAACAGTTTGTAAGGTATGTGTTTTGTGGAGACTATACAAACAATAGAATGAACAGCAAAATCCAATTTCTGTTTTGGGATTTTTTTTCCCCCCTTAATACGAAATTTAAAGTCTTTGGTCCTTCATAGCTAAATTAATTTGTGATGGAGCTCTTTAAAAAAACCCAACACTCACAAAATGTAAAATAGTATATTACTACAGTGCAATGTTTCTGATAACTGTTTATTAAATATTAAAACTGTGCATTAGAAATATATAAAGGATTTGGGTGTGGAATAACAAATCAGAACAGAAAACATCATTTTTGGGGGTTTGGATATAGTTAACCTCGTCGTTTTATTTCGTGAATCTGGTCTCTGACTTGATAAAGAAAGCAGAGGCCAATAAGGAACACGATAAATTATGGTGGAGACCGTATGGAACGCCAACCCTGTGGCCACTATCAGATATTTTCATTTAGTTAGGTTTGCCTAAGGTGAGCGGTTAAAACCGATGTCAGTCTTATTATTCAGGCTGAGTCGGGTGGACACTGTATTGCTCTCCCATGGATTCGCTTGTGGCCTAACAGGACCCCACCTTCCACCGGAAGAGGTACACTGAAGAAGCCGCAGGGGCTGCAGGGATTGGGACCGGAAGGTCTCTCAGGTGCGCATTGACTGTCGGGAAGTTGGGCCCCAGGCTGGTGTTAGACAGACCTACCCTGAAGCTGTGGG